TTTCCGTGAAACTTCCCAGACCGACCGGAACTCCCTGATCCGGGGGTGGATGATGGGAGACTGGGCCATCAGCGGCAGATGAGACTGGCCGTTAGAGGAACCGGAACCAGAACCCGGATCCAGACAAGACGAGAAGTTCACCTGCACAGAGACGGACCCGGCTGTAGAGTTCACATCGTTTCAGTCTGATTGTCAGAAGAAAGGTTTCCGAGGATGCGCCGAGTTCGGACCGGCCCGGTTCGGACCGGCCCGGTTCGGACCGGCCCAGACGACTGAAATAAGAATAAAAGCTTCCTAACTGAAACAGCTTCACGTTGATCCTGATCAGAAAACTGGAACAGAACCGGAACCGGATGATCCCTCAGGTTGAGACGCCGAATGAACGAATATAAGAAACCAAAAGTATCTGGTTCAGATCTTCTGATCAAGCGGGTCTCATGATCTCGCTGCGTGACGCTGGACATGTTCATGTCTTTATGATTCCTGTTTCAAGCTCAGTTACAGGAATTTAACTCTCAACCAGTTGATCATTTGTTTTTGCCAGCCATCACCTGGTCGCTGCTCACTCCTCCACCGTGGGGACTTTTCCGCCGGCGGCCTCCAGGGCGCTCCACAGGGCGGAGTCCGAGGCCCAGGCCCGGCTCTCCAGAACCTGCTCCTCGATGGCGTTCAGATGCTTCACCATGTCGCGGGACAAACCTTCCTCTGAGCGGATGAACACCTCGATGACCTGCAGGCGACAATACAGCTTCAGGAGGAGCCGGGCCAGAGCCGGGCCCAGAACCAGAACCAGGGCCAGAGCCGGGCCCAGAACCAGAACCAGGGCCAGAACTGGGCCCAGAAGCTACTTAGCGGTGGCTACATTAGCAGCGAGTTAGCGGTGGCTACATTAGCAGCGAGTTAGCGGTGGCTACATTAGCATCGAGTTAGCGGTGGCTACATTAGCAGCTACTTAGCGGTGGCTACATTAGCAGCGAGTTAGCGGTGGCTACATTAGCAGCTACTTAGCGGTGGCTACATTAGCAGCGAGTTAGCGGTGGCTACATTAGCAGCGAGTTAGCGGTGGCTACATTAGCAGCGAGTTAGCAGTGGCTACATTAGCAGCGAGTTAGCGGTGGCTACATTAGCAGCGAGTTAGTGGTGGCTACATTAGCAGCTACTTAGCGGTGGCTACATTAGCAGCGAGTTAGCGGTGGCTACATTAGCAGCGAGTTAGCAGTAGCTTCAGCTGCCTTGAGTCACAGAATGCAGTGAGAGGATCTGAAATATCAATAATGATACCAAGTCAGTATCTGATCAATACAAGCATGGAAAGATCAATTCTGTAGTTTCAGATTCTCTCCACACATTTTATGTAATTTTCATTTAATTTCACTCATTTATTCAAAGAAGTTTAACCTTTTTTTCACTTTATTTACAAAAAATTGTCACAAATTGGTTTATCTTTCCGTTTCTGATGATCATGTTTTTGTAGACAAACACTTTGTCCAAAAATTTCAACTAATTCAAAGAAAAAGGCTGAAAAAGTTTGGAGACATTTCAGAGCTAAACGATAAAAATGATCCTCATGTCAGAATATTTTAGATTAAATATTCTGTCACAACATTTAAGATTGAGGCTCCTTTCAGATGCCCGTATTTAAGACTTTTAAAGGATGCGCCGACATCACGCTTCCGCAGCGCAGCGTCACTTCCTGTCCCGAGGGACCGGTTACCTTGAAGAAGTAGAACGGCGGCAGCTTGAAGACGCCGATGATCCAGGGGAAGGTTCTCTGGGAGCTGTAGGAGAACAGGACCACCTCCAGGCAGCACGCCATCAGGGAGCAGTGGAAGATATCCTGCTCCAGCAGAACCTGCCAGCAAACGCAGGGTCAGATTTAAAGGGACGCCACGGTGCCGCTGCACCCTGCAGCATCCTGCAGCGTCCTGCAGCCTCCTGCAGCATCCTGCAGCCTCCTGCAGCGTCCTGCAGCCTCCTGCAGCATCCTGCAGCCTCCTGCAGCATCCTGCAGCCTCCTGCAGCATCCTGCAGCCTCCTGCAGCACCCTGCAGCGTCCTGCAGCCTCCTGCAGCATCCTGCAGCGTCCTGCAGCCTCCTGCAGCACCCTGCAGCGTCCTGCAGCCTCCTGCAGCGTCCTGCAGCCTCCTGCAGCATCCTGCAGCCTCCTGCAGCCTCCTGCAGCGTCCTGCAGCACCCTGCAGCCTCCTGCAGCACCCTGCAGTCTCCTGCAGCCTCCTGCAGTGTCCTGCAGTGTCCTGCAGCCTCCTGCAGCACCCTGCAGCCTCCTGCAGCACCCTGCAGTCTCCTGCAGCCTCCTGCAGTGTCCTGCAGCATCCTGCAGCCTCCTGCAGCACCCTGCAGCGTCCTGCAGCCTCCTGCAGCATCCTGCAGCGTCCTGCAGCCTCCTGCAGCACCCTGCAGCGTCCTGCAGCCTCCTGCAGCGTCCTGCAGCCTCCTGCAGCATCCTGCAGCCTCCTGCAGCCTCCTGCAGCACCCTGCA